GTGGTCTTTGTGCACATTCTTATTGTAGTTAAGCCTTGATTGTTGTAGGTAATACTGGGGGGGATTTGACCTCCAGGCCAACTGGCTGTGAGAATGAGCTGTGTCTTCAGTGGGAGAACCTCTGTCCTAGAGGGAGGTGCTAATCAAGCCTTTGCCTGAGGCTATCCCGCAAATGCTTCTGTGCAAGGCTTGGGCAGGGTGGGTCCCAGGGGATCAATAGGGCAGGCAGAGTGAGCAGTTATGGCTCTGTCAGTCCCGTCCCCAAAGGCTCTGCCTCTCAGTGTCCAAGCAACCGCTGCAAACCTCGGAGAGAAAGCTGCCCTCGCGTTCCGACCGATGCCAGACAGTCCTGTTTCTCCCATTTGAGTCTGGGTTCCCAGAGATTCACCCAGAACTGGAGCTCAGAGCCTGAGACTCCTTCCCAATTGAAACAGACAACCGCACCCTCAGTGGCCAGCCTGCTCCTCATGCACCTCCGCATCTTTGTATTTTACTTCCGCACTGCGCCTCCTCTGAGTCTCGGTATGCTTTTCTCTTTCCTTCTAGTTGTATAATTTCCCCTCAGCCAGCCTTCCTGTGGTTCTGGGTGATGTCCTCTCTGTCTTTTAGTTGTATTTTTGAAGTGGTTGTGCAAGGCAGCAATCTCCGGTGTTTACCTATGCCGCCATCTTGGTTTCTCCTACATCTGTACTTTAAATCTAGAAATACAATAATAAAATATCAAATGACATTCAATTATTTTTTGCTAAAAAATGTTTGTACGTGGATTAAAATTCGTTATAAATACAATGATTTTGTTTCAACAATGCTACCCTTAGATCATCTTATTATATGTGGGGATGTATAATTTAAAAATAATTATTAGTTGTGATATTGTGATTTATAATATAAAATATATATTTGGTCTTTATCCTCATTCTTGACAAAGAACTCCTAAAAATTATTGGAATTGCCTATGAAAGAAAAGTAGTAAAGGTATATTTTATTATGTTAATGAGGTGAATTTTCAAAAGCTCATAAAGATGGTGTTTGGTTGCCAGGAGAACCAACCATGTAATTTGAAAACTAGACCTTTCAGTCCTACCCTTGCCCCCGTCCTCCACCTACAGAGAAGTGGAGCTGGAGATTTAGTTTACCAAGGGTCAATTATTTAATCTGTCATACCTAAGTGATGAAGCCTCCATAAAAATCTAAAAGATCAAGGTTCGGAGTACTTCCCAAATGGTGAGCAAGTACAGATTTGGAGAGAGTGATGTACTTGGAGAGGTCTGGAAGCCTTAACACCTTTTCCTATACCTTGCTCTATGCATCTTTTCTATATCACCGAGTTATATAATTTCATAATAAACCTGTAATCTAGTAAGCAATGTGTTTCATAGTTCTATGAACTGATCTAGCAAAGTAATTAAAACCAAGGAGAGAGACATTGGAATCTTTGGTTTATAGCTAGTTGGTCAAAAGCACAGGTTACAACCTGGACTTGCTATTGGCTTCTGAGTTAGAGGGCGATTTGTAGCCCTCAACATGTTGAATCTGATGCTATCTCCTGTGTTAAAATTGAGTTGAATGTGAAGAACACCCAGCTGGTGTTGGATAATTGCTTCATGATATGGGGATAAAAATCTATACATAGGAATTGGGTGTTAGTGTAATAAAAAGATATAAATATTTTTGGTAAGTGGTTAGCTATTAATAAATAAGTTTTCTCTCACTAGGAAAAGAAAATATATAAAACTTATAGTAATGGTTTTATTTAAAAGGTTGCAAAATAGTTGGAAACTGGATCAAAATGACACATTGCATATAAATGTACCTATTTTTCAAATGAAAATATTGTGTACTTAATAAAAAAAGATTAAGACAGACAAGAGAATACAGTTGGGACCAGGTAGATCACTGCCTATATGAGGAAACAGTGACACAGCCTGTAAGCCGAAGCTTTATTTTATAGTCAGATCACACAAAGCAAAACAATGGGAGTGGTCAACATGTTTACAATGTTCTTAGGAGTTTTAAATCTATTTCCTTACTCAAGCCTTGTTTTGGCAGCACTTACTGCACCTCCCACAGCCCATTAGCTACCTAGGAACAAGGGAGGACTATAAGGTCAAGCTTAATGCTAGGAGGGCTCTTCCCTTCAAGCTGGGACTTGCATGTGGCTCTGCCACAGGTCAGTCCAAGGCTTGACACTATTGTCGTTCCCTACAAGCCAGTATCCTTCATTTGCATAGAGGATCTAAGTGAGGTTTGAACTCTTGGACTTTTGTGTTTGCTTTAGGAACACATCCTGGAACTTGCTTACCTCAGAATCTCACCACTCAAACCTGGCCAGTACTTTCTGAACTAGTCATCACCCCATGTTATATAGACAGCCAATAGGAGAAGTTTCCTTTGTTACACATTTTGTAATTTCTGCTCTGCCTGTCTTTGTTCTCTTCGAAGAACAGTTTGTGTTGCTACCTAAATCCATATCTCCCCAAATTTGAATCTTTTAAGACTCCAAATAAAGTTTTAATCTGTTTTACAGCTTCAAATCTTTATTGGTTAGCACTTAGTATATACAACTGTATGTACTTAGTAA